GAGAAAGGAAATATTAACTAGGTGGGCAAAGCGGGACAACTTGATCTATTTCCACCAAGTCAGTTTTAAACGGACACCGTCTACCTACGATGCCCTTTTTACTTATCTTTAGAGTTTACAAAAAATCAATTCGTCATTAATCACGAGGAAGGACTTATTTTAAATAATTTGAAAACCTTTAAAAAGCCTGAACATGTTACCAGATCTTACTGACACATTTAAACAATAAACTCCATTGCGTGAATAATAATGTAATGTATAATAATGAAAGACTTACGATTCTCTTCCGCGTAACTTACCTGAAACAAAAAATAAATATATTTTTGACGAGCTAATTTATACATTTTGGCCATCTTTGATCACCCTGATCTGCCCAATTGCTCTTGTCAGATTCAGAAACCGTCTTTAATGGCAGATTGGTTTCTCCTTGAGTATGTCCTATGTATAGGTTCCAATAGTTTCACAAACACATGTACCAGTCCAGGATGATCGGAGACGACCAATTAATTAATAGTAAACGTACATAAACTATATGTAAATATAAGTCAGCGGGGGTGTCGGTGGCCGCAACTTGTTTAGGCGTTGACACGGCGCTCATCACTGTAAGGTAAAGGTCCCGGGTTCCAATCCACCGGCCCTGCATTCGAATCCGACATGCTTACAAATGGGCTTTTTTCAAAAACACAGGCACCCCGAGGGTGGAAATAACCTCTGCTGTTGCGAACCCTCGATAAAAAAAAAAGAAAAAAGAAGCAAGCAGACAGAATTGATTTAGAAAGTTTAGCTATTAAGGATAACGACGGAGCTTGTCAAAAACCTTACAATTCTAGACAGAACAACGTCAAAATTACGTCCAAAGTTTACTTTCGCTCGTTTTAATTCCAGGGGAATAGTTTTCAGTTATAAGCCATGTTGACAAATCCCGTCGGGTTCTCAAAGATATTAAATCCCCCAGGGTTTTTACAGCTTTAGCCGAAGAGCGGAAAATCGAGGAGGAGAGATGTAGGAATGAATAGAGAATCATTATTCTCTTGGATGATGAATGGGGAGAAGCGTGCCAATCCTACCCAGACAAGAACCATTATTTCAAATCCTACGCCGCCCAAAGATAGGTTACACTTAAAACAAGACTCCTTTTGATAAAAATATTCGTTTATAGACGAAGGAAGAGAAATAAAACCAACTTCCTCAAACCCTAATATAAAAGAGAAAACATTTTCATTCCGACAATTCTATAGAAATCAACATATATCCATCATAATTGCCTTATGCCATTTGTGTCTGGCTAACTGGTTTTCATTTCCAATTCTTCTCAAGTGTAAAAAACCAAAATAAATAAATAAAATATATATTCTATATATTTGCATAATTATAATAATTACAAATACGAACATCTTACTTTTAATATCTATCGTAATATTATCAAGAAAAGTTGCAACGTTAATAGAAATTTTTTGAATGAAAAAACCAGCATCTTGCCAGAAAAGCGCAATTTTCTCTAAACTAAGAAAACTCTTATCAGCTTCTATTAGATGCTGAAAGCTTCTGAGCGTAACCATCACACTAGTTATTTTATACGGGCTAAAGTTTTAACAGCTTAATAAAACTAAAGCAATACTGTTCTCCAAGCACAGGTTGGTTCAAACTGCCACATCAGCGCCCTAAGGGCTTATCCTGTCACCATCAAGTAAGTCGAGGTACTTGACAGTAAAGCTAATTTTAAACAAATATCTTCAAGCATTAAGACCAAATCAAGTACTCTTTTATAAGGGTAGTGTGATGTATATATTTATTATTACCGAACCCTTTTTTAAAAAATAGTATATATTAGTTACGGGCTCCCAAACTTCTTATATTTCTTTCACGCATCTTTCTAATTGACATTTATTTTTTCTCGTGTATTTTCAACTTCCTAACCACTAGTTGTTACCTCATGATGTCAAGTTACTAACAAAAGACCAAAAAGACACATATTCATAGCACATAACACATAAACATTTTAATGCTCCGCCTCCCTCTAAACAACAGCTAGCGAAGGGAGCTTTTGTTAAATGTATGTATTTTGTATTTTAAGTTAATGTTAGTTTTAAATAGTAAGCCTTATCGATCTGTGTACAGTTGTCATTTTCAATCCAAAATTAATTATTTGGTTGTAATAACGGAAAGCTACGCGATTGTGGAGGCACCAATGTTATATATATATATATTTTTATAAATTAAAACTAGTTTGAAAATTTTTAGAAACGTGTTATGCCAATAGGCCCAAAGAACAAATCGACTTCTTTATAATAATCTTGAAATACATGAACAATAAATGCAGAAAACCAAAAAATAAATCTCTAACTTTCTCGACCCATTTTGCAAGAAGACAGCGGAAAAAATGTGGCCCCGGGGAATCTTACCCAAAAATTTCTTCTTTTTTTTTTTTTGCTAGAACAATTCGTATTTTAGAGCTTTGAAGGGTAATTAAAAAATAATACGATTTTTTTAAAATAATGTTTCAAGCCTATTTTATAGGAAGCGTCTTTTGGTGTAGAAGTTTGTAACTTTTTATACGTCAAATCTCATTTAACATTTCCATATCCTGTTACAAAGAAAAATCAACAGATATTTAATAATCCTGAAATACATGTACTTTTACGACCCATTTTGCAAGAAGACAGCTAAATAAATGTGGCCCCGGGGAATCTTACCCAAAAATTTCTATTTTTCTGTTTGCCATACTAATTCTTATTTTAGAGCTTTGAAGGCTAATTAAAACATAATACTATGTTTTTTAAAATAATGTTTCAACCCTACTTTATTGGAAGCGCCTTTTGGTGTAGAAGTTTCTAACTTTTGATACGTCAAATCTCATTTAACATGATCCTCCGAATATTATTTTCATATCCTGTTACAAAGAAAAATCAACAGATATTTAATAATCCTGAAATACATGTCCAACAAATACAGAAGGCCATAAAAATTATATATACTATACATTCAATTAACTCTAGATGAATTAGAATAGTTTTTGTTTTTCAAAAAATATTGTTTCAAACGTAGTTAATTGGAAGCGTCTTTTGGTTTTTGTAACTTTTTATACATCGAATCTGGGTTAATATGATCCTGCACATTATTTTCGTATTCTACGTTAAAAAAAAGAAGCTTTTTTTAACAAATGATAGCCCACCTCCTTTATTTCGAAAACGATTTTTTTTAAACGTAAAAAGCCCATTTGTAAGTATGTCCGGTTCGAATGCAGGGCCGCTGGATTCGAACTCGGGACCTTCGCCTTACAGTGATGAGTGCCGTGTCAACGTCTAAACCGTTGCGGCCACCGACGCCCCCAACGATTAATTTTAAACCACAACTTAAATTTTTTGCCAGTTTTTGTTACAAAAAGCCCTCCCCACCCTCGCGTCTTTCGACGGGCATAGCTTCGAAATGGTCGATCTTAAAATGTTTCTTTCAGAAAAGTAATAAAATAAGATCTAGAATCGAATTGTACAATAAAAATATGGGATTTTCATTTAAAATTAAAAAAAATAGTGCTATTTCCCAGCCAGATGAGAAGGTTATGTTAAATATGTTATCAGTATGCGATTCCTAGCCAAAATTAATTTGAGGAATGAATAAGACCATTTTTGCTAAAGTTAATCGTTTTCGAATTAGATGAGTTGACTATAGACATTGATACACCCTGTATATGTATACAATAATCTTAAATTTAAATTACATAACTATTTTATCGGCTCCTAGGGTCCATTTTGCAAAAATGCTCTAGTATTCTAGCCTAATATTACATTATTATATATAATATTATTGTGTGGTGATTAGTGACCGTTAATCGATAATTATTCAGAAATCGTGAGATGCGGTCTGGTGTGATGTAGGCTTCAGAAAAACATTTTCTTTATCGTGCCAACGTTTCGATCTTTATTGAGATCATCTTCAGGGCCTGGGATTTACAAACATTGTTTACATTTAACAAATATTGCATTGTATAAATTCACTTTTCCACATCCTAAATGGATTTGTTAAATGTAAACAATGTTTGTAAATCCCAGGCCCTGAAGATGATCTCAATAAAGATCGAAAAGTTGGCACGATAAAGAAAATGTTTTTCTGAAACCTACATCACACCAGACCGCATCTAACGATTTCTGAATAATTATAATATGATTAGTTTTAATCTAATAGCCTAATATTTTTCTACTTAGTCGACTCATGTTGACTGACTTGTCTCATATATTTAATAACGTTTTAACGTTCTAAACATATTAAAAAAAATTAAATCTCCCCGAAAAAGAAAAGTGCTGCAGACGGTTGAGTTATTGATATTCAGTTTGGGTATGTAGATCCCGACAACACTTCCTTTTTCTTTTGCCACTGAAGCAATCTTGGTTGAATGGCATTATTCTCCCTCGTCGAAATTTCCATTTGTATCTCAAATACGCCAGCGCATTTGTGTAGATTAAGAACTAAAAGTGACTGTGACTATTTCACTTTTTTTAAAAATTTTCTTCATAATTATAATTGTTAAATGGGCAGGGAAATAGTGTTTGGGCCACCTTTTGAAGAATGCCTGGTAAAGACTCCCCCCATTTCCAATATCGATCAGCCGTTTTAGTTTTGTAGGACAGTATTGAGTAGGTTGATAACAGGCACGCAACGTCCGGATTACCTGGCCTAGTTGGAAGTCAATAAGAGAATTACGGCCAAGACCACCTTCGAGGATCCTCGACTACTTTCGTTCACACTTTTTCAATCCTCTTCGATGCCGAACAACGAGGGAGTCGGCTTATCTAACAAAATCAAGGTGCGAAATAAGAAAAAACAAAAATAATTCCGTGTAGACAGGCTATTTTATATTATCTGACCGAGGATTTCACCGTGGGATTGATGAGTACCGTACAGATGGGAAAACAAACCCGGCGGCGTCTTTCTCTCGACGTGGTGCGATTTGATCATGATTTATTGTTTTCCATTTATTTCTAACGTTTGGCTTTTTATTTCAGGGTCTACAAGAAATCATCGCCCAACAATAAGCTCACACTCTACCTCGGAACGCGCGAGCTGATCATCTCGAACAAGAGCGTCGACAGGATCCAGGGGGTCGTCTTGGCAGATCCGGAATATCTTCAAAACCGTAAGGTATTAAATCTCGTAAATAATATAAATTGCGTTTAGGCCATATACCCTTGAAAGGTCAAAGTCGTTGAATTGACTTAAGAGAGGAAAACCTTATATTAAAAAAGTTCTCGCGGGCGTATCTCAACTGTCCCCTACGCACTTTAGAAACTTGTAAAGCTAATTGCAATAAAAACAAAAAAATAAAAATAACCATCTGAATAGTATTCGTACAAAATTAACTGTTTTCCAGTCAAATTAAGCAAGAACACGATATAAAAAAACCGAAAAAAGGTCCGGTTTCTTCCTCTTTGAATTACTTTGTGCCGTTGAACCCCAGGAAAAGGTAGGAAAAGAGGGAAGAGCAGATTCCTCTTTTCTACATTTTTAATTTGAAAAAACCCCTTTGGAAAGATGCCATTTTAATTGCTAAGCCTCTGAAATATAATTCTGAAGAGACGTGCTTTCCGCCGACAGGTCCGTTATTCGACAGCGCGACAGAACCACAAACCCGACTGTTTTTATAACTCGTTAAAACCCTTTTTCACCCGACTCGCATATATTTTATTTAATTTAAAGAATTTGCACAAGGCTATTGATATTATAATAGTAAATTATATTATAAACAGATTTGATCTAGAGAAAGGGCCGGCCTCAAATCTCACGCAAATTGCTGAACGAAAGGGGTGAATATAGATGTCAGTTACAGATTGGAGCTTTGGAATTAACTAAGGTAAATTAATTATAATTTGACTTCGAGTTAAACAGACCGTGGTTTTAAACAATAGTTAAAAAGAGGTGGGGTATGAATCTAATTCACTTTTACTTTTGGAATTAAAGGTAACGAGTGAAATATCAGTTTAAGCGAAACCGTTTTCACCATCGCTTAATTACGTCCAACAATAAGCAGAAGGAGGGTATGCACTTAATTAGTATCAAAAAAGTTATTTAATCTGAATATTAAATAGGTATAAAGGGCTTTTTAGGCAGGCATCTTTTAAAAGTCCATTTACATCGGTTGGTTAAAAATTGCGAAACTCAATAGACCATCGAATTAGTCCTTAAAAATGATTAATTAACCGTGTTTTTTTTTAAACCGACGCAATGGGTAATTAATTATTCTTTCAATTATTGAATTTCCAAAAAAGAAAAAATCCTGATTACGAACATATTTTTTTGATATTTCATTATTTAAATTAAATTATTGTTGAGTTTCCGGTTGAGTTCGGTTATTTCATCAAAATTTTGAACAAGTGAGTTGGACAAGATCGAAGTTGCAAACGCTACATGAGAATCCTTCATTGAGTTTCAAACAATGTTGACAAACTTACCAATGAACTCATTTCGTCTCTACCCAATAATTTTTTCCTTGCGCATACATCTATTTTTATTATTAATCTGATCACAAATCCATACAGAACTATATATATTTCATTTGTCATATTGTTCATTAATTGTTAAAGCAAGAAGCCAAGGCGTGGAATATCACTTTCTGAAAGTAACAGTTCATAATTTTTGCAAATCTGTTATTTTCATACATGATTCAATTAAACACGGAGAAACCTTTTGAATTCCAGGCGGTCAATTATTCCGATTGTGATGTTTACAAGGAAAAACAATTACGTACTTGTAATTAAGTGCCATCAGACAATTAATTTAAGATAGGGCGATGCCTCATTCTCTGACGGCTTATATTAGTTTTTAATGGACCTTTTTCGAAAAAAAATTTCAATTCCTCTCTATTATTCTGAACTGAATTTTGAGGTTAAATATTGTCAGGATTGGAAGAAAAGACTGCCTAATTTTTCTCACAATAGTAAGGAACAAGTTACAACAGTCTTATAAAAACAGCCTTATAACAACAGTCTTATAACAACAATCTTATACAACAACAGTCTTATAACAATTGGCTGCTCTTTCTAGCTTAACTGTGAAAACGTTAGTATTAAACAACGTCTTTTGAATAATCAAACATCTCGGGTTTGTTTAATCAGCTAAAAGACAGGAGGAAATAAAATGAAACAAATACATAGCATTTATAGGAGGGTTTTTTCCTCCTGCTGGAGGCAATATAAGGTTATTTACGTCAAAAAAACCTGGCAAGTCACCTCCTAATCTGGCGAGCTATAAGTCTTCTTAGTACAGTGAAGTTTTCGAAAATTGTTTTGCCTATACGTATAACACGACACCTCCATTTCAAAATATTGTGTCAGAGGAGAGGCGTGAAATCTCCAAATGATTTAAAAATATTTTTATATTATAAATATTTTTCGGTGATATCTAGCTCGAAAAATATGTGTCCGAGCGTTCTAGTCAATGGACTCAAAGAAATTTTTTTGAGTTAGTTATAATAGTTTTTAAAAAGATTATTCCTTTGTTTTGTATGTATTTCAAGCATATTTTCCCCCTTAGAATAAGCTAATAATATGCACGATTGTAATGAATGAAAATATATGAAAAGTTACAAAAACAAAACGACGCTTCCCGCAATGTAGGTTCAATTTCTTTCGAAAAACCTAATTAGGATTCGTTTTACGCAAAATACAGCAATAAATAAGATTTTTTTTGAAAAACAAAAAACAAAGTGCAGACTTGATTGACCGTAGGTTTTTGTTTCTTCGGTGTCCTTTTGTTCCAGTTAAAAATCCATAACACCTCTGCATTTTATCCACATTCAACAGTTGGAAGGCTGGAGAAAATAGGTTAACAATTTTTTTTCTCGAAAAACCGAATTCAGATTCATTTTAAGTATCCTACAAAGCCCATAAGTACGTTTTTTTATGGCAAACAAAAAATATACATTTTTGGGACTGACTAGCCAAAGGCGTATTTTTAATATATATTTTCGGTGTCCTGTTGTTCCACTTAAAAATTCATAACCCTTCTGACTTTTATTCAATTTCAACAGATGGAAGCCTGGGTTGTTCTACTTTCGGCCAACCCCAAAACTATTTAAATTTTATGTCATTGTAAGCGAGAAAAATAAGGAAGAAATCAAACACTAAAACTTTTTGTCTTTTATCTCCGGTTCTAATTTATATACGAAGGCGACGCTTGTACCACTACGTGTAGTTCGTAATGTTCTAAATTCTGGTAAAGTTTCCTATGGAACAGTTTAGTCGTTTTGAATTTATAAATTTTGTTGTTAGAAAAAAAAATTGGAAACATTTAAAAAGGCGAAAAAATAAGAAAATATTTTCTTATTTTTCCTAAAATTTATACTGTTTTTTTTTTTTGGGGGGGGGGCAAAAAACGAATTTCAACTTCGTTTTTTATACAAAAAATATTTTAGCCTATTTTGCACGTCGTTCGGTCATAAATTATGTACATATTTCAGTATCTACGATACCCATGTTACGGCTGGCTGCCAAATACAATTTTAGGGTAGTGCCTAGGCGACTATCTATAGCATATATATAATTGTTTTACTGGAAACACTAATTTCAACTAGAAGTCGTTTTTGTGTGTAGTTCGTTTTAACAGGCCCTAGCAGTTGGCAAAATGAAAACAACCACAATTTAATATCTACACAATTTAATTTAAAGCTCACAAATTTGTCTTTTTGGTCTTCGGACAGTTCAAGGTCGTGCATGTTACTTTAGATTTTCGACTTAACTAAGAAAGATGGATAAATGAGTCTCGGTGGTCACAAAAGAGTTTCAAGTGTCCGAGTAAGTGACACGGATTAGGAGGGATAGGGATGATAAAGGATCCTAATGGCCAAATGGCAAACAGCTTAAACAAACTTGGCAAACAACTTAAGCCCATCGGCCGATTAGGTCAAGCTTTCTCAATAGAAAGCCTATAGGAGTGGTACTGACTACTAGGCGGGTCACTTTTTTATTTATCCATTATTGCAAGATGTTTAATGTTTATGTTTTAATTAGTGTCATCTTATAATTCTAAAGAATAACGACTTAATAAGTCCGGACGTTAAAGATCCTCATGGGTGTCAACGCCCATGAGTAAAGATGGGTACGGTTAAAAATGGGAAATGTTAAGTTATGAAAATGTTCAATGTTAAAAGTACTTCAAGTTCGTACTTTCTTCCTTGTTACATGCACACTTTTAATCACTATGCCTGACGTCCTGTCTATCAGTCTCTCACATTTTTCTGACTTTCTTTCTTCTTTAAACATCTCTCTTTTATTATAAATCGCACTTTCACCTCATTCTCTCTCTCTCTCTCCCCTTCCTTCCTCACACACACACACACGCGCACACGCACGCACGCACGCACGCGCACACTCTCTCTCTCTCTCTTACTCACTCACTCACTCACTCACTCTCTCTCTCTCTCTCTCTCTCTCTCTCTCTCTCTCTCTCTCTCTCTCTCTTTTACTTTCTGTACCTTTTTTAACTTGCTGCTCTGAAGTTCTTTCTGACAATCTTGTCTTTCCGTTCCTTCCCCTTTTCTTTCTCTCACTTTTTTCCNCTCTCTCACTCACTCGCTCCCTCTCTTATGCCTTCATCATATTTGTACAATCCAGATTTCGAGCATTAAACGGTCAACATAAGGTTAAAGGAGTTACAAGTCTCTCCACATGAATTGCAAAAGACCTTGTACTTAGTACATTTATTAGGTTTCGTGGTCCGCTTGACCAAATAAATTCTTTTCAATTAATTAATCTTTATGTAAGGTTTTGGTTGAGATAAAAAGTCAGTTTCACAAGCGGGATTCGAACCCACGACCTTCGGCTAAATACGCCGCTGCTCTACCACTTGAGCTATCGTGACCTCGATCCACTCACACACGAACTTCCCACCTCAGCCCAACCTTTTTTCAATTCTCCCTCCTTTTTGCCATTTTTCAAATGCCGTGTAATCTATTTGATTCTTATCAATGAGTAATATTGAGTATACTTCATTTTGCTTATTACATTTATTAGTTTTATGGTACGCTTGACGAAATAAACCGTGGCCATTTCATTTATCGCCGATAATCAAATGGATTACACGATATTTGAAAAATCGCAAAAAGGAGGGAAAATTCAAAAGGTGGGGTTGAGGTGAGGAGTTCGAT